AAAAATAAAAGTCACCTGGACAGGTGATAAGTTTGTAGCTTTTAATGCAACACAAGGAAGTTCTTTGTGCTGATATTTTGTTTTCTTTATTCTTCATTCCAGTCATTAAACCTGTCTTCTTGTTATTTGTTTGATATCGGCAAACTGGATTATAGCAAATTTAAAGCTGAAACAAACAAACAAAAAAGAATGTATAGTATATTCCGTTCAGAAGGTTGTTCCATTTTTTTTTCTTTCATCTTAACAGAGGAGTAAAATACATTACTTTCTTGATACACTGCATTTAAAATTTTTATTATTAGTTTAATGAGCTAAATACATTCCTAAGAATTCCTTGTCAGTACATGACTGTGTGGTCTTCTAAATGCAAATGCAGTGGTGGTCAAATATGGGAAGATAATGGAACTTCTTCAAAAGGGAAACATTTTACTTTTCATCAGTTCAGTCTATTTTCCAAGATAACATTTTATAATTTTATGTAGATACGTAATTTCATTAAAATAAATTATTTAAAATAAATTCAAATACTATTGTTTATCTGAAAGTCAGCAGCACCTGAAATAGTGGTTTTTGTTTGTAAGCTTCATTCTTAGAGTAAAGTGTGCAAACAAGGAGAGACTTTAACTTCTTTGTTCAGGATGTTTCTGGTGCTTTCACCACTTACTAATTTCCCCTCACTAACTCATTGTGCACAATTAGATGGCTTCCTTTATTAACAATGAGTTGTAATATCAAATAACTTTGTAGCTCTGTTACATAGATATATAAATAGTAACCACTTCACCATTCACATAACAAGATGATGGGAAAGGTGCAGATGGATTTGTGTGAAGATATCAAATAGCGGCATTCAAAACGTAGACTAGCCAGCTAAAGCTCAAGGTTGAGAGGAAATATGATTCAAATGGAAGTAACTTTATATAGGGCTGTTAAGCTATCACTGCTTATTATACGACAGAAGAATGGTCTTACTTAAAAGAAATAAAGATCTTTAGCATGTTATGGATAGTTTTAAAATGGAGAGTTTCTATTGCAAAGGGAACTAAAACAGAAATGCTCATACAAAGTATAATGAGCATCTTGTTCATAAAAGCAGTGACTCCTTAGCCAAGCCTTACAACACTCATTTAAATATTAATATTTGACAAAAGTGGATTTTTGTTTGTTTTAAATAAACATAATATCTCTTCTGAGTCTTGAAAATGAGCCAGAACAGTCTGTTTCTTTGTGGAGATGCTTTCAGTGTTTGGTGGTTGTCAACTGTGTTATCCACTAAATAAATGATTTCTAGCTTTTTCAGTTATCACAAGTAATGCACCTGTAAGAGCTTCTATTGAGTAATTTATTATAAAGCACAAATTCCAATCATGGGTGCACACATACTATTTTCAGAAATAGACTCTAAACCAAAATAGTAGGAAGTATAAAGAAAAGAGAACTAGGAAACTGCATTTTTGCATTTGCATAGCCATACTTGATTGTTGTATACCAAACAATATTATCTCCTGTGACACTTGCGAGTTGTCTTTGAGTGATAGAAAACAGAAATATTGTAGGAGATACTCAATTGGTCAAAGCTTATTCATAAAAAGAAGTAACCAAGGAATATAAGCAAATCATTGAAGGTATATCTACAATTCAGTGAAGACATGAGGAAATTTATGGTGACCTAACCTTTTAAGAAAGAGAGAAACAGTAGCTATTCTTACAAATTACCCTTCTGTAGGATCATGGGAATGTTTTCAGGTTTTGAGTCTAGTTTGGAGGAGGGATTTAAATGCAAGTTTCCTGTCTATGAAGGAAGTGTCTTTCCTACTCGTTTGGTGGGTACTGGGGGGAGTGCAATCTTCCTCAGCGCCTTCTGTCAAGACGCACCATTAAAAACTTCCAACATGAGAGAATTACTGGTTAATTGTATAACATCGTGGTCATGTTCTCCAATTATTGGTATTATTTTTATCATGTTCTTTCAAATGAGTGGTATTTGGAAGTATAATACATTTAAGAATGAATTTCAGAGACTTTTGCAGTTTTGTTTTTTTTCTTCACTGGCAACATTAATGAATTATAGCAGACAAATCTGAGGTCATTTTCTTCAAAATTAAAAATTTATTTTGATCTGAAACCATCTCATTCTTAGCAACAGCGATCTCATTTTGACAAAATCTCCTGGTATGTTTAAGCTAGAATGTTTCGGAAATAGCCAAGAGTTATATTATTCTAATTTGCACAGTCTAGATAAGGAATACAGAAAACCTTTTGAACCAAACATGCTAGAAACAACATTTTTCTGAATATCGGGTTAGAAACATATTATGAGCATAATTGAATTTATTACCATTCCCAAGAGGCAATTACTGTTTCAGTGAGAACAAAACAGTCTTATTAGAGACTTGAAAATACCATGTATCTGTTTGCCAAATATATCACTAAACTGTACACAAAAGAGCTGAATACTTATTAATAACAGCAAAAAGATTGAATGCTAAGTATGGATATCTCAGCTCAATTGATGTGAAGTCAAAGTAACTGGCTGATGTGAACATGTTTATATCAAACTTATTCTTGAAGTCGCTCAAAGTTGATCTAACTGTGGTTTTACTGAAGTTATTAGCATAATGTATGATAATGGTAACAAGCGAAGACTTGAAAAAATATTTAAGTTAAAAATAATACTTTGCTGACCTATATGTCTGTTCCTTTTTTCTTTTTGATTACGGGTTTCTTTTTCAATTCCACATTCAAGAATGTCACAAAGTGGCAAAATTAACTTGGTTTGAATCTAATCACAGTTGGTTTACTGGTTATATTAATAGCAGGATTAACCAGCAGTCAGTGAACTCTACATGCAGGGTCAATATTAGCAATGCAACAGATAAACCACAACATTAGACGCTAATTAAATGTTAATATATACATACAAATATCTAAATGGTCTTCTATATGTAATCCCAATATTTTGTCATAAACACGCATACTGAGTTACAGGCAGACACCTCCCACTCACAGGATGCATGGGTTTCCAGCACACCCTTTTTTCTGGACGTGCAGGTTCCCTATACACACCCATCCCGTAGGAGGTGTGGGCTCCCTACCTTTGTGTGTATCTTTGCAAGTTGGTCATGCCCACGCCAGTGAGACAGCACCCCCCAAGTTCACGTTTGCATACTCAAGGTGCGTGTCCCTGCATGGTGCACAGTGTTACCAGGTTTTGGGTGTATGCCCTCTCAGGCAGTTTTGGGTGGACAGCTGCATACACTCTTTGCCAAGAGCCAAGGTGCCTGTTCCGTGTGTACTTTATTTTAAGAAACTGTAATCATTTTATGCCTCTTACTGCTTTACCAATATTTTTTGAGTGAGCATATATTTTCTTTTTCCTTTTCTGCCTTGATACCCAGTCACTAATGCTTACTAAAAAATTATAATTTCTGTTCAATGGACAATTTGGGGGAAAAATTACATTTTGGATACAAAAATGGAAATTCTGAAGATGTTTGGAAAGGCAAAAAGTAGATATCATGTATTTAAAAATGAAACACTTAGATTATTCCTAATATTGATCTTAGTTCCCAAGTTTTTAATCTTACTACAACACCTAGTTTCTCATCATGTCCTTAAGTTACAAATTAAAAGTCCCAAACTGTCCAGAAGTCAGATGTGAATCAGGTTAGTTTCCAATGGAAAAAAATTGCTTTAGGTTATCTAAAGATTTTTTTTCAAAATCCTTTCTCAGAATGTCCTGTTTTCCACAAATAAGATTTTTTATAATATCATAAAAACAGCTCTGGATGCATAGTCCAAAAGGCCAAAAGAAGGCTTCTTTCCTAGCTTTAACCTCCCTTTCTTTAGCCATTGTCTCACCCCTGGATTTTCCATTTGCAATGTGCAGTGTGTTTTATTTTTGCTTTCTTGTTCACACTTGTGCAGTCTCTCTCTTTGACAGCTGGCCCAGGTGGGGCTTCTAGAGGGAGGAGGAGATTGTTTCCCCTTAGGATTTCTTAGACTCTCAGGTGCTGCGTAAACTTCCAGCTCCCTGCTGTGCCTTTTTGCATGGTCTTCCACCTGCTATGCTCTGTAGTCTCCAGTCCCACTTTGGGGAAGAAAGCAGTGTGTCCAGGGCAGACAACCTTTCAGTCAGATGGACCTCCAGGGTAACAAAAAGAGAAACTTCCAAGGAATTAGAGGGGGCTGTGCAGAGCTTACAACAACTCTGAACGCCCTAGGCTTAGCTGAAACCAAAGCAAGGACCTACCTACAAGGATGCTATGGGCAAGCAGGAAATTGCATAAAAAGCTCTTGTAATTTTTGTTCTGTCCTCCCTGGTAGCTGTGGCCAGCTCAGAGTCCCATTATGCCATAGTTCTGTGTAAGCTCACCATCTCTTTTTTCTTTGACCCATGTTGGAGGTATTATCTTTGACTTGGGTCTTGTCTCTGAGGCCTGCCCACCAAGGCTGTGTTCCTGTCTTGCCATATTTCCCTGTAAAATAATGTTAAGGTCAGGTTTTCTTATCTTTCAAAAATGCTCAGGGTCTGCTTTAAGTGATGCATACCTCACATAGTACAATTTCCTCTTAATTAGTCTGAATAACATATCTAATCCTCTGTTAATTTCTGTTCAAAATGTTGCTGTCAATATTAGTTCCCTGGGTAGTTTTTATAGTCTCAGTCTCTTGCTTTCCTCCACTAGTTCCCTCATCTGCCTGTACAGAACACAATAGAAGTGAAAAGAATGCGCAATATTGCAACTGTGTTGTGTTTTTATATATGGAAGGGATTGTTAATTTGGCACTCGGATTTATTACACTTGGAGAGGGAATGGAGGGAGAAGGAAAAAAGCAATGAATGAGACAATTCTGAAATGTCAGCATTTTTATGAAGTTCCTTGACTATTTTTTTCTCAAGGTCTTGAGGAAAAAATTGGCTGAAATTATGATATCCACATTTTCTACTGGAAATTAAATGACTTTGTCTTCTTTTATATACATATATATATTTTTAGGTGCGAACATGGATTCTTACAGTGGGATACACAACTGCATTTGGAGCAATGTTTGCAAAAACGTGGAGAGTTCATGCAATTTTCAAAAATGTAAAAATGAAGAAAAAGGTGAGGGGAAGTAAACTCTTTTCTTGTTGCTCGGTTAATATAATTTTCTAACTATTTTACTACCTTTCCTGAATGGCCATACTTGAGCTGACTGTTCATGTGTTCAAAGATCCTGAATATCAGACCATTCAGGACCACTGGGGCTTTCTTGGTCTCATTTTTAGTCTCTGAGAGTTGGAGTCGAGCAGGAGCCCTTCAGTCTTTTTAATGAGAGATGGACTGTGGAGATGGCTGTAAGCTTTCAAAGTGAATTTTAATTCTCACTCTTATTTAGCATGATATTTCAGCATCCAGAGGTCTCCTTCTGGTAGATTCGCAGCTGTTATGAAATGTTTTCTGTATATGTCTGTTTGGCATACAGGTATTATACAAGTTTCTGATGGGTTGGTAGGATGAGGCGATAGTGCTGCTTATACAGCTTTCTGTTTCTAATTTTGATTGAAATTGCATAAACTTACCCTAAGGCTGATCAGAATTGAACCGCAGAAGTTGTCTCCAGCATTTTTGGTACAGAACATTTTCTGTAAACAATTAAGCTTAGTTTAGGAATAATACAAAACTTCATGTTTGTACTGTTCATTTGATATTTTTCCCACGGAACTTCTTTTTGCACATGAATTGCTTTTAATCAGATGGTTTTATTTAAAACTGGGAAATATCGTGAATACAAATAGTTTTGATGGAAAAAATATTAAGAGAAATGTGCATGAAACAGAGAGGAAAAAATAATATTATTATAGAGTGAGAAGTAGTGCCAAATTCCTATACGCAGTGGAATGGATTTATTCTAATAAGTGATAAAGAGTTATTTATACCCAAAATAAATAGAACGATATTCCAAAGCCTCATCAGATTCCTCTGGGTTTTTTTTCCCTCTGTGTGTGCTCATGGAAGAGCTGTATTTTCTTTTTTGTTGTTGTTGTTGGAATTATGTTATTGTTTCTACAGTTGCAACATGTAAGGAGTTGCTGTCACCAAAAGATACACCTAATCCTGAAAAGGTTTGGCTTTAGATAGACAGAGAGAGCGAGCTGACTCAGTTTCTGAGAGCATTTATGTCTTAGGGCCTTCATAGAATCATAAAATCATAGAATGTGTTGGGTTCGAAGGGAACTTTAAAGATTATCTAGTCCAACCTGCAGTGAGCAGGGACAATGTTACTAGATCAGGTTGCTCAGAGCCCCATCAAACCTGACCTTAAATGTCTCCAGGGATGGGACCTTCACCGCCTCTCTGGGCAATCTGTTCCAGTGATCTACTACCCTCATATTGAAGAACTTTTTCCAAATATCCAACCTGAATCTACCCTTTTCTAGTTTAAAACCACTATCCCTCATCCTATTGCTACATGCCCTTGCAAACAGTTCTTCCCCAGGAAGGAGAAGTATTGAGGAAGTACATGCCATGGCTGGAGCTGCACCTAGCACTCTGGAACCTCAACAACACAACCACCTAGCCCTTCCCTCTGCTATTTGGTCATGTCAGGTTTGTTTAAATATTTGTTAATTAAATCCCAAATATTCATTCAGTGTAAAAAATAATGAAGACTAAATGAGAAATACCTTTAAATGAAGTAAAATTTTAAGGAATTTCTGTACCAGAAATGGCATACTCTGAATGGAGGAAAGTGGAGACCACCCTTTCTGCACCTGTGCAAAGAGCCCAGTATAATATATCAGTTTGTACTATCAGAGTCTATTATATATTTTTCAAGAATCTTAGACTTCCTGTATTAAAGACTTTTCACTCAAAACTGAGCCAGTATTTTACCTTCTTGAAAAATGAAATTTTATATTGCAAAGATGTTTTCATATATATTGGTACAAATCTTTGTAAATTAGTGAAGTTACACAAAATAACACCAGTGTAACATATGAAAGCATTTACTGAATAACTTATATTATACTGAGAATTTTATAATTTCTGCAGTACATACTACTTCAAATAGGAATGAACAGGGACTTCAATGGATTGTCACTAAGTATTTGCTTTTTTTGGTTTTTTTTAGAAAACTTTTCATTTTAGAACTTCAAGTTGCTACTCAATATTAAATTTCATTATCTGTTAATTAAGCATAATCCTCAAATTTTATATAGTGCCTGTTCTTCAACAGACCCATCAAAGACTGCAAACTGCAATTGTTTATTCACAACTGGATGTTATAAGTGGTTTAAGATAAGTTAAAAAGACACTGACCAATATAAGGGAGATAAACTCTCAGACATCTGGATGCTGACCAATGAGATGCTTCGCTCTGAGTGATACAGGAAACATCAAAGCTATTAGCACACCTTATTCAATACTCTGGAATTAAGTAAATTATGCATTTTGTTCTGTAAACTTTAAATAATTACTTTTGCACAGAATTATCTTGGTTTGCTTTATCTGGCTAGCCCATTCCAGAACACAAACGTGAATCGTAAAAGACAATAGTTTACTTAATGCAAAACAAATTAACTATCCATGACAATTGTTTACTAGTCATATATTTTCTGTCTTTAATTTGCTAGGATAGATAAAACTCGTTTTAAGAGCTGATTAAAAAAACATGGCATTCTTTACTTATGTTTTAAGGACAATTCATTTTTCAATAGATGTAGTTTACAGACAAAGCATTTTGTATCTATGGAAGAATACACAATTTTCACAACAATATCTAAAGTGATAAATAAACAAAGGTAGTACTGCATGAAAAAAACCCCCCACATTTATTTATTTATTTGTTTGTTTATTTATTTATTTATTTATCTGTGCCATGACACAGCAGAGCATTTCAATATGAGGAGTACAGATTTTCAAAATTATTTAAGTACCGTGGATCCTATCGATCTGTGGTTGCTTCAGTTTCCACCTGCACCTGACAGTAAAATCTGACATTTAGGTAAACCGCTTTTGCCTGTCATCCTGGATATTTTAATCAGTAAAATTTTCCAAACGGTGAAATAATATTTGTTCATTCATTTAATGGAAGTGACTATTAAGTGAGAGAAGAATATAATAAGTGAATCTATCTTCATCAGATAGGGCAAGCTTGAGTCTAGACTTTTACTGGAAACCTGTCTTAATTGTACACCATGACTTTGTGAAGAGATCAATGGATTTCTCTCTCCTTGTGAGAAAATGTATACAATTTTAAATGATAATACATCAGAGCTCCATTTTAGTACAGTGGAGAGTGAAACTAAAGTAGGATGTCTTCAACTAGGTGAAGATTTTTGTTAACTTCTGCTTATAAACCCCTCACAATTCTCTTATTTTCACCCATTTATGCATCTGGTTCATTGTTACAGGAAACAAATACGCAATAAAATTCAGAATACACTCCTTCTGCTATCAAGCTTCTAACTGACAAATTTTGCAAGATCCCCAGAGCTATGTTGCCATCTTTGATCTTGCTAAGGCTCAAAGGAAACAAATTAAAAATGTATTAATTTTAGTTAGATCTGAAACAGAGGGGTGCAAGGGAATCAATTTTTGTCAAATGGAAATTACAAAATCAGTAGGGGGAAATAAATTACTTTTGATTTTTAAAGAGGTTAGTAGAGATAATGGAAAGTAGAATAGAATTAGTATTAAAAATAACTGTTAACACTTATAATTGAGGTGCAATACTGGTTTTGATATGTCTCCTTTCTGTTGGCTTGGGCAGAATATCTTCTGCCCAGTGAGAGGTGGGGACTGCTTTTGTGTTTTCTTTGCCAGCAGAGGACTGGCAGTGGATAAGAGGAGAGAGAGGAGAATATAAGTGTCAGGAGAGCATGTGGTGTCCTGGGGAAGTTTTAGCATTTGAAGATATCAGGCTCTCTGGTAAGATTTACAAGTTCGTGAAGCTGTCTATTTTAATGGGAACTTCATTGTCTTAGGTTTTAGGGGCATTAATGCAGTCCTGCTTAGTGTCTGCTCCTGTGCAACTACAGTGTGCCAAATACAGACCATTCACTTTTGACAAATATCAGAACAGTAACAAGTTTAAAGCAGTGGTTTTAAAAGCCTCTGGAAGCTTTACATATTCCGCTCCTAAGAAGACAAATATTTGACCACTTGTGGGTGAATACAATCAAACACGATGATCTGGATCACAATTTTGCTTGCTGCAGATCATACAATACTTCTCGGTTGATGTTGCTACTATCATAGTAACAACCCATAACATATCTTACTCATAACAAAGTACATTCTAGCTCTGTCTATTCGTACTTAATCCTTTAACTATGACATCAGGGGAAGGATGCTTTACGATTAATTTCACTGAAAATATTGTCAATGTACTCAATTATTACTACCACTGTAGACTTCTGGGTGGCATATGTCGTTATGTTGAAAATGTTGTTACAAGATAAATACAGAATATAATTGCACAAGGAGATGTATAACAGCATTTTTTCTTAAGATTCTGCTGCTATAACTTTGTCAACATTATTCTACTCATTGATTATATTTCCTTTGTTCTTTAATTTACTCTGTGATTGTAGACTTCCCACAGATGAGAAAGAGTTAAAGAGCTTAACAAATATTGAAAAAAGATATTGGTACTATCCCGGGGTTAGAAAGCTACAACCAACCACAACAGAGAAAATACGACTTACCAGTCCAACTTGACTTAGCTATGCCTGTCAGGCTGTAGCCTGGCAAACTTATTTTCTTACATTCAGCCTACTAAGTCCTTAAAAGACTTCTGAAGAGAGCTGTGGTCTTCATGCATGGCAAAGGCTGATAGGAGATTGTACAGCCTGTTTTGTTGATAGTAACATGGGGAAGGGAGGCTGGCACTTCAAGAGAACCATGGGGCCAAGAGGTAGGGAAGAGGCTGCAAATGAGAAATCGGGTTAGCTGTTAAGGGCTTCAGAGGGAACAGGAGCCTCTCCAGATAAAAATAATAGGCAAAAGCTTGGAATTATAGACTGGGAGAAGAAGTTGAGGAGGGAGACCTAATTTGGATAAGAATTCTCGGAGTTAAAGTAAGATTGTAATCAAGCAAAGAGGTGAGTGGGGCATGGAGG